AGAGAGAGAGAGAGAGAGAGAGAGAGAGAGAAGGAATGAACGGAAGAGCGTATGCAAGTGAGAATGAAAACGAAAGCGAGAGTGAAAGAGAGAAATAAAAATATACATAATTGATATAATATTTAAAAAGAATTAAATCTTTAAAAAAATGAATTTTAAATGAATTTAATAAATAATTTAATGTGATTCTTTTATTATAAAACAAATACCTCTATTCCTAATATAAAATAATTGTAAAAATATAATTAAAAAACAAATAAATCCTACCAATTGATATGATCGTTGATATCCTATTCATTGAATTATTCATTCTTATTATTGTCGTGTTCATTTCCTTTTTATTTCTCTCTCTTTCTCTTAATATATTGAGTATTAAAATTCAAATGGAAATGAAGTGGTATGAGCTAGCTTTGCGTGCTGATGAACCCATATACCAATCTAGTCGACAGAATATTTGCGTTCTTGCGATATTTGCGTTTTATTCAATTATTCATAAATAATTTACACTGAATATCGTCATCTATTATTACAATGATTATTATTTTTTATTTTCTTTTATATCGATATTTTAATTTTTAAAAAATCAATAATTATATATTACTTATTGATCATATCATTGCAATTAGATAAATTAGATAATATCTTTATAAGAATTTCAATTAAAATTCTTGCCTGATTATTTTATATACTATTTTTATACACAGAAAAAGAAAATAATTTGGTTACAAACTTCAAAATTCAAATAGATTTCAATTGATTATTCAAAATGTTTACATGATTTAAATGTAATATATTTAACCATAGAAGATTATAGATCAAATTATCATAATCATCATCATCATCATTATCATCACTATCATCATTATCATATCAGCATTATCATCATCATCATCATCATTACTATTACTATTACTATTACTATTACTATTACTATTATTATTATTATTATTATCATCGTCATCATTGTTGTTGTTATTATTTTTATTATTATCATCATCATTATTATTACTATTACTATTATTATTACTATTAAATATTATTATTATTATGATTATCATCATTATCATCATCATTATTATTATCATCGTTGTCATCATCATCATCATCATCATTACTACCAGCACCATCATTACTACCATCATCATCATCATAACCATCATTATCATCATTATCGTTATCATAGTCATTATCATCATTATTATCATTATTATTATTATTGTTGTTGTTGTTATTATTATTATCATTATCATCATCATCATCATCATC